CCGGTAAGAAATGAAAGCCATGAAGAGGGAGGGGAGGCCAAAGATTCCCAATGGTCAAGACAGGAATGGGGTGAAAGACACGTGGGAAATAACTTTGAAAATAAATCTTAATGTAGATTCCTTGCATCCACAGTTAATTTTTGGTCTAATTTTGCACTCTTTCCCTCCATTCCTTTTCAGTTTTCCACCACGGAGCTTCGAGCATCCGGATGTCCGGAAGAACTGGGATTTGGCAGCCTCTTACAGTGAGTATGAAAAGGACCAGAGGCTGTGATGACTTCAGTTAAGTCCAGGACTGAGGGTGAAATGTCTTGATGCCTTGAAATGAACTCCCTATTTCTGGTTTAAATTAAGAAACCTACAACTTTCTCTTGAATTCTCTGTAAGAGTGGAGGCCAGGCCCCAGGGAAAGCAGGTGAGGAGGAGAACGGCGACCCTCTTAGAAAAAACCTTGCTGAACCACACTGAGTTTTTCACTGACTGCCTTCTTTTCAGAACATAGCAATCTGAGCTACTAGAAAGAGGAAGAAGAACCCAAAAAAAAGGAAAGAAAGATGGCCAAAAGATTGCTTTAGTAGATGCAGGCAACGTCGTGCAGAATAAAAATAATCAGTGTTTAAACGGGACTGGAACGGGAAGAGCTTGCTTTTGTTAACGCGTTTGCACAAGTCTAGCTCAGCTTTCTATCCTATGGAAATTCCTTGTTTACCCTCCTCCTAGGAAGTCCTTAAAGATCTGCCTGGGAACTCTAGTGATTGGGCGCTCACTAGTCGGGGAAGGCAGCCTTCAGAGAGGGTGTCTCGCTGGGCCGGCCGGCTGCTCTTTGACTTGTCCACAACTTCCTTCCACCCGGTGGTCTTAGTCTGCCCTTGGCTACGGTACCAAGTGCCATCCTTATTTCACTCCATCGAGTCCGAGCTGCAGCCCAAGGTAGAAGCTGCAAGAGCTGGGCAGTGTTCCAGGCAAGAAGGGCAGAGAGGCGAGAGCAGCGCTCCGCGGAGCCCGTCAGGGAAATGGAGCAGCGGCTCCTTTGAGGACTGGAACATCCCCCTCCCGGTTGCCCTGCGGGGATAGCTGATCTACTGAGTGATTGATTAGTGCGGAGCGGGGCCTCGGTCCCTCTTCCTCCTCCTCTTCTTCTTCCTCCATCTCCTCCTCTTCCTCCTCCTCTTCCTCCTCCTC